ATATTTTGTTGAGGTCTTCATTTAGGAATCTTTAGACACTTATTGAACTGCAGAGACACTGACATCCAACAGAACAAACCTTGTGGATATCGATCGCAATGATGTATTTCGGATATTGAGTAGTCTCGATGTGGAAAAATCAACGGGACCGGATAAGCTACACTCAAGGCTGCCCAGGGTTTGCACTCCATGTAGCCGGCCCACTGACTACCATGTTCAGAATGTCTCTCAGTGAAGGCACACACCCTCGTTGCTGGAAGGATGCCACAGTAACACCTATCCATAGGGCAAGTTGTAGGCGGCTTCCATCAAATTACCGACCGATATGACTAGTGCTGCAGAGAAAATCCTAGAAAGAAAGCCATCACGGCCGACCTATGGGGTAACACCCTATTGTCTCGCTCAAAGCATGGTCTTCGTAGAAATTTCTCTTGCTTAAGGAACCTACTTACAGTCAGAGAAGGTTGGGTTAAGTTTAACGACCATGGGGTACCTGTAAACGTCATTTTCATAGACTTTAGTAGTGCATTCTCCAAGGTACCTCATTCCAGGTTGCTCGGGAAACTGGAAAGTTTTGGAACCACTGGCAGTTTGGTCGCATGGATAAGAGACATCTTGTTGGTAGGAGGCAGAGTTAGGATCAATTCTCAACTCTCCACTTGGAAGTCGGTAGAGAGTGGAGTGCCACAAGGCACAATCCCGGGCCCCCTGCTGTTTTTCATATACGTAAATGAGCTGCCAAACATCATGAAATCCCCCATGGTTCTCTACGCTGACGATGTAATAATCTGGCAGGAAATTAGGAATGATGAGGATATGTGTGCTCTCCAAACAGACCTGAACAGCTTGTCCGCCTGGTCAGAGAAGTGGTTGATGCCTATCAATGCAGGTAAATGTGTGAGCTGCACTTGGGGCACATACACACAGTAACAACCACGGCATTGATGGGACTCTTTTACCGTCGGTACTGGCCCACAATGACCCGGGAGTCACGGTGAGTTATGACTTGAAAACCACGGCTCACTGTCGATTGATAGCAGCTCGGAGTTTAAGGACCCTCTGGGCATCACGCAGAACGTCCACGAAAACAAGCGGTGACATGTTCACCATCTTATACACATCCTTAGTTAGGTCAAAATTAGAAAACTGCACACAGGCGGCAAATCCTTGTCTGGAAGGTGCCACAGACCCTCTAGAAAGAGTTCAGAGGGCAGCTACCCGTATGATCCTTGCGATAGCTGGCCTCACCTATGAAGACCGACTTTGTCCTATCGCAGACAGAGGGGAGGCCTAAACACGCTATACAGGATTCCAGGAAATGACCTCAGACCTAATCTATCTTCTACTTTTTTCCCACTAGGTTGGGACACCTCAGAGAACATAGTAGGAGACTACGAAAGCAAAGAACGTACATGGTCTCCGCAGAGTACTAGTTCTCACGTCGAGTAATCAACGCCTGGAAGCGACATTCAGAAGAAGTGGTGTCCTTGTCATCAGTTGGCTCGTCCCAAAGGGATTGGATAAGCACAGAAATCTACTGGAAAAGGACTAACATATGCTGCCAGCCTCCTGTCCTCAAACAACAAATCCGAATCTGAGATGGTTGGTAGTCTTGTCAACAAACCCGTTGATCCCTAAAACAAACTAGCCTACGATTCACTGTGGCAAACATGCAACAACACAACCATCAACTTCAAAGACATGAGTAGGTCGACTGAAAGTGGTTTTCCGTCATCAAAGGGGATAACGGAACAAAAAGATATCTAGGATTTGTCCTGGTGCGAACTTGACAGACGAAAAGACCAATCACTGATTCTTCGAACTTGTTATATACCCACGAATACGAGACCTAGGGAGAACGCGATAGCGTAGTCGGATGGAATAGTATATTTGGATGGTTATGCCAAAATACCGATGCGTTCCAACTAACTGGCTAGAGAGTCGAATCCGAGCAATGCAACGTAACACGACAGCGTGCCAAATGGTGAGGATGCTTGACCGGGTGTCTTCAGCTTAGCGAGTCCGGTTAGACTATCAAGGTCAGCATCAATGTTGAATGTCGTCAAACCCTAGGCTATTGATTTTGGAAAAGTGTGTGACGCTACAGATCACTCCCCCCTAGTGGGTTCGTGAGGACCCTAAGACGATACCAGCCGGGAGTAAAAACCCAGTGGTTTCTCCACTGCTAAAACTCTTCCGATGGGCTCACTGCGTGAAGTGGCCTCTGGTTGCCTGAACTTATTCTAGGGTGTCGTGGCAATCAAATAAATAAAATACAATAAATGAAATTGTACGTCGGTCGCGGTCATCTGTTCCTTTCGACGTTCCGTTTAGTGCTCGTTACACCTGGAATATAAATGGAAGTCTTTAGTAGCATGAAAACGCTTCTAAAAAGTGGGAATTATGCATATACAAACACATAGAAAATAAAGTTTAAGCTTCTTTTCACTGTTTTTAAAGCCTCATCACATGGTCATAAAAAATTGACATAAAAAGGCAAAATGTACGAGGAGTTTCTCATTGCTGGTAAGCAAGAAAAATAGTGGCCCGGAAAAAAATTTGTAAGTAAAAAAATGGTTGGCACATCCTATTTCACACCACTAAGTTGGATACGACTTTAAACACTCCGAAAACTTGACGGTTCGACCTGATCGTGTTTTCTGTCGCGCCGTTGGTCGTTGTAATTGTGCACTGCCAGACACGTCGTTAAGAATTTTGATAATTGGGCTATCCACCGGTGTTGTTTTGGCGTTAAGCTTTCGGTAATCACCGGTTGGACGCCAGTCGTTGCTATCCTTTTTGGGAAACATGTGCAATGGCGATGCCCAAGGACTGTTTGACGGTCTGATAATGCCCAGTTCTAGCACATGGTCGAATTCACTTTTCGCCGTTTTAAGCTTATCGGGGGCTAGACGGCGCGCTTTGGATGCCACAGGTGGACCTGTGGTTGTCACGTGATGCATAACACTGCTGGCTATGCACGGAAGAGTGTGCTTCGGTTGTCACAACTCTGGATATTCCCCCAAAACTACTTGGTAGGAGGCGTCGCCTGATTGTTTGGTTCTGATGGGGGCTAAACTCGGACCTACATAGGTGGTGCGCCAATAGGTAACTTTGTATTGTTATTAATCAGACGTCAACGGCTGGCATCTGCGAGTAAATCGTAATGGTTTAGCGAATCTATGCCAATGACGGGCATGGAAACGTCAGCCAGGAGGAAAATCCAGTGGATAGGTTGATGTAAACCTAAGTTGAGGTTGGCAGGCTGCCTCCTAAACGTCGCAGTTGCCCTGCCATTGGCTGCTTGGAGATTGAAGGATGGGTCATGATGACGCTCCTTTATCAGTGCAGGAAGAGGGCTAACTTCTGCGCCGCTGTCGACGAGGTAGCGAACTTTCGTTCTAATATCCTTGAAGCAGAGGAAACGGCTGTTTCCGCCGGCTACGGTTGCCGTGCCGGCGTGACCGTTTCCCGAGTTTGCGTTCTTGTTAAAACTGCATGGCTTCCGACATTTTCTGGCTTCGTCTCCGTAAGCATTATGAAACCAGCACCATTCTGGGATTTCCACCCTGTATGGTTTAGTTTTGAGGCAACCACGCGACTTGCTGCGATGCGCTAAGACGCGTTTCTGTGAAGTGCTACGTGAAATAAGACCTCGAGATCGTAGCAGCTGTTTAACAGAGTTGCACAACTTGGTCACCTCCGAATCCTGGCTCTCTGGTTTGCCGCAGACAGAATATACTTTGGAGACGGGTCTGCTAGAAATCTCCAGTATTTTATCTGCTGAGGCTGCCAGGTCGTCGAGTGGGACTGACTAGAGTGTCAACAACACGGTTTGCACCGGTTGTGGTAGTTTCGAGAGAAATAGTTCTCGGAAGAAACCATCGTCGAATGTTCGTGCACCGATTACTTCTCGCATGCGTGCGAGGACTTCAGTAGCTGAGTGGCTGCCCAGCTCGATGTTACGAAGCAATTCGTCTAGGCGCTGGTGATCTGCGAGACCGCTTCTCTTCAAGAGTGCGGCCTTTAGAAGTGCATAAGGGTCACTTACTTCAGGATTAAACATGTTTGCTGTAACATACCTGTTTAATTCTCGCGGTAGTGACCGTATGACGGCAAGAAATCGAGAATGAGGATCTAAGATGCCCTGTTCTCGAAAATTGGCCTCGGCATACAGAAGCCATGTTTCTGCATTGTCTGGCCAATATGGCACGAGTTGGATCGTGTTCGTAGTCGGCTTAATACGAACAAGCTTGGGAGTGTGGTCGGACATGAGAAGGTGTAGTAAATGGATATATAAATGTTATCGAAGTGAAAACAACAAACAAATATAAAATGGAACAGACTCACCAATTCAATATCTGTTATTGGTCGGGATATGTGATCACGTCGGGACATTTGATCACGTTAGGATATTTGATCATGTCGGGCTCACCAATTTAGGATTTGTCCTGGTGCGAACTTGACAGACGAAAAGACCAATCACTGATTCTTCGAACTTGTTATATACCCACGAATACGAGACCTAGGAAGAACACGATAGCGTAGTCGGATGGAATAGTATATTTGGATGGTTATGCCAAAATACCGATGCGTTCCAACTAACTGGCTAGAGAGTCGAATCCGAGCAATGCAACGTAACACGACAGCGTGCCAAATGGTGAGGATGCTTGACCGGGTGTCTTCAGCTTAGCGAGTCCGGTTAGACTATCAAGGTCAGCATCAATGTTGAATGTCGTCAAACCCTAGGCTATTGATTTTGGGGAAGCATGTGACACTACACGTAGGAGACCGAAGACTTAGAATCGAGAGCTCAAATACTTCAAGTTTTCTCTGCTCACATTATTGACACTGGATGTTGGAAGTAGACGTAGAAGCCACAAACTCTTACTTACGGTTTCGACAAACCAGGTTTCGGGATTCAGTAAGTGTGATTCCCTTGTTTTATTCAACCATTCAGGGACGCTGATTTTTCCATAGCTAGCGCTACTCCAGTGTCAATGCAGAGTAATAATAAATTAGTAGTTGAGATTGAGCACTGGTAAGTATTCTGAAAAACATGTTCTTGTGTATTTCAGTTCTTTTAATGCATGACCTATATACTTTCGTGAATACATCTGAATTCACTCATTCCTGCATCATAGCAGGTAAGATATCAGGCACAACTATTCTCTAGGAGCTGTTAAACCCTGGAATGATCTTCCTGCAGACGTCATCCAGGTTACTTAGTCTGAATCCTTTAAAAGCCGCCAGGATACTTAGTTGAGATAAGGCGAAGATCTGACCTGAACTAACTGAATTTTCATATTTCAACCGCCAACTTTCACTCTCTCCTTACTCGTACACAGGTTAACAACCACAAAAATTAGTGATCCCGAGTTTTATTCACGGGAGCCAGTTAGGTGAAGGGTCTCCTTTCACCAACAACCATTTGAAATGGAAGTACCATGACATGGCATACCTTTGAGTGGCAACCTGTAACTGGCAGTGTCCTTCAGACTACTTTAACACCAATAGTTTTCCTCCTCAACTTTGAGAACTCTGCCAAACGTGTCTAGTTGATCGTCGTTATTATCCGCTGACTATCTTAATTATGGAGCGTGAGGGCGGTAGTCTTGAAAAAAACCAGACTGGCTTCAGTTTTGTTCTTGCGTGTATCAGCCAGAACTTCACCCTCCACCAGGTTCTGGAACTGGTACACTCACTGGTGCCTCAAACTAGTTGTACTTTTTTCAAAGGCGGCATTCTAATCAGTTGGTGGAGAGGTCTTAATAAAGTGTCATTCACTGAAAAGGGCGCCAGGTAGGTACATCATCCTGCTAAAGGCCTTTGTATCTTAAACACCCGTGTTTGTGTTAAAGCCTTTGGCGAGACAGTTGGTGAATTGGGTACGTTGAATGGCGTCCATCGAAGATGCCCACTCTTTCAACTTTTATTTGATTTTCATAGGCGTTCTTATGAATGTATTTTTCTCCTCATTAGACTTACCAGGGATTGGCCTTGCTACAGGAGGTTCCCTAGTAGACTTGGAATGTGTAAATGACAGTTCTGTTCGCTGAAGATGCTGGAAAAGTACAGCGTCTCCTAAAGGCTCGCTTGGTCTTCGCTGTCATATTCAATTACAGACTAACGGCCGATTGTACTGAGCTACACTTCGCTGTCTTCTACTACACAGATGTGGAACAGCCAACAAAGATACAGAATATGAGGGGACTTCAGGTGTTCGACCACCGTGACCTTCGTAGCATAGATCTTGTGTCGTGGGGCCACCGAGTAACGTGGAAGTCGGGCTTATGGTTTCTGGGAAGATGAGGAAAGTCATTTGATGAGGTTGTAGACCTTCATCGACTGAGGTGTGTTAGGGATGCCGATATCCCTTATATTCCATACTTACAGTTATGTATGTATTTGAACTGTTCATTCACGCTCTTTTCCCTCGCATGGGTCATATTTCGTATGACCCGGTATTGTTCTGATTAACTGCTGCCTCTTTAAATGTACCAATGATTGTTGTAAACCCTATAAATAGGTTCAGTTTTTACTCATAATCGCTTCAGTCCGAGATACTATTAACTCATCTGGTTTTTAGCCTCTTGATTTCTATTTGAAAAGCACTCGGGTTGCATCGTCTCAACACTGGACTACCAGTCGTCAAGTATTTCTGTTCGTTCTCACGACTCCGCATCATAATAAGGCAGCTAAAACACGTGGTACGTTACTTTGCAGCCGCGTATCCCGTCACACAAAATTAGCTGAAGTAATTTCAGGCTGATAAAAAGTTAGGGGTGGCTAGACTAGAACATGGCATCAGCCTATGAAGTTTTTTTCACTCCAAGTCGTGTAGGGAAAGTGTAGGCTTTCTGCTTAGTGTTCCGTATGGCTACCAAGACCAGTAGTTGGCCGCTGTTGGTGATATGGCTTGAAACCAACCTTATTGGCGAGGATGCATCCACACTTCATCTTAGTCGTCCTACCGAATTTCATTATTATCTCATCCTATCTTTTTATGACGCTACCAGTTTTGATAACTTTACTCCTTCGTTTTCTATCACTCATCTTGATGTCGTGTACCATAATGTGCTGATTTAAGCTGTAGCAACGTGATTGGTCACGCATTAATTCCAGGTTTCATTTTGACGCTGTCTGACTAATTTACTGGTGATTCATAGTCATAATATCTGTTCACACTTTAGCAGCTATTCCTATTTATTTTATAGTAGTTCTTCAGTGTGCATTCACAGGATCGTACATTCAGTCGTTAGATACATTTTGCTTGAGGACTAAAGTCGTGGGAATAAATCTGATATTTGTAAACTAGTGGTGGAAAGTGCGTTATATTGAGAAATTGATCACAAAAATATCAATTGTTATCATTGAAATTAAGAAGATCAAACTTTCGTTTGCTTTTCATGTTGCCATTTGCTATCACTTAAATATTAGTTCTACCAAGTTTCTGGTCTCAATTAAGGCGATTTACGTAGAAATGTGTCACATTTTTATAACCCAACTAACATTGGTGTTTATTTTTTGATTTATTCCTTCAATGCTTTTTTTCGGCCTCTTGAATTGTATAGTGGGGGATGAGGATACCTTCCTCGGGCCCAACGCCTTGCATCGGAAATCAATCAGAAATGTAAATCAGCTTCTGTTAGTATTCGTGAAGGTCGATCAGGTAAGTTGAGTTTGCGGTCGGTTGTCATGCAATTTGTCATTGACTGTTCTTAACAGTAATCAAACTGAGCTTGGCTAAGTCATACGCCTCGAATGAACCTCCTTATGTATGCAGTTAGCGTATGTATTTGATAAAGGCAACTGAGACTTGGCATCCCTTCAGTGCACGTTTACTTTTTATGTTGAGTGTTCATACAAACATGGTTTGAACACTTTGCTCTTGTTCTCTGTATTTTTCCATATAAGTAATTGATTATTCCGTCGTTCGTATTCTGCGTATATTGCTACGGTCTCTGTATTGTACCGTTAATGTCGACTTGTTACTGTTAATACCACTCAGCAGGTATGTACCGGTGTCGCAATTGGATTGAACCATATCTATTGTGTGGTGACTATTGGTAATTTCCGAGTACTGTGGCTCATTGGTGTAGTTACGACTTTCAACCAGTGGGTCATGGATGCAAACACTGCTCCACTTACTGAAATGTGGGCGGCCAGATGGCATCATACAATATGCTACTCATTGCACATGCATGTGCTTAATGGGCGCATTTTAGCTTTGTTTGATTTTCACTCGGTCTTGGGAAATCTGTGGGTAGTGATTTCTCAAGAACGTTTCGTTTGTAATTACTGCATACCCACTGATACTCGAATTTACCAAACATGTGTCCAATAAATTATCTGCACATATGTTATTGTTTTATATTGGCGGAATAAATCAAAATGTAAAGTTTGTCGATAGGACGCGTTGACCACTTTACTTAAGATTTTCGCTCTTTGTGGAGTACCTGTTTGGATTCTGACCATCCGTTGATACTGGCACGTGAATGTCTGCACCTTACTGGTTGCAGGAAACAGGCGACAGTGAAGTCTGTCCATGCCCAATTAAAAGATGAAGATGCGAAACACCTATTTAGGGAGGAGTTAGCTCAGCATTTATCTCGACGGGGCAGCAGTGCTCATCCCGAGGAAACCTGGTGTCGTCTTGAGTCTACTGTAAAAACAGCGGTAAAGACAATTGGTATCCTGTACCCGATAGTGTGCTGAATTTATTGAATTTTCGCGACGTCATCCGAACTGACTGATGCCAGAAGATTGATTCCAGCTGGCTCCTATCCCTATGAAGAGCCAAACCGACTTAACCGTTGGTTGACGAAGGGTCTTCGCGTCGATCGCGAGCAGTGGTGCGTGGCGATAGCGAGGTAGATTGACAAGGTATTGGCACTGGGTAACACTTGGCAACTATTTAGGCTTACTAGTAATACTGGGAAGAAGACAATTGCGAGTAAAACCATCAACGAGCCTCCTAGGACAGGGGCTAGAACGTCAGGCAGAAAATTTTGAAATAAGTCAGTTGGCCCACAGCAGCGCCTTAGTCACCCACCATCTGGACTAAACCTGAATGGGACTTAAATATCGGTCCTCCAACTCTTCTTGAAGTTAAGAAAGCTGTATCGAACGTGAAACGACTCAAAGTGGCAGTATCTGACAGTTCGCCACCTGAAGTTTTTAAGGATGGAGGTAGAAAATTGCTGATATGAGAGATGTAGGCACTATGTAGTGTTTGGGAATCAGAGGTGGTACTATCAGACTGGTATACGTCACTGATCATGCCAGCCTAAAAAAGGGAGAGAAGTCTTCTTGTGACAACCATAGGCGGAACAGTTTGACTAAGAGTGTGTCCAAGTTCCTAGGATCCATATTTATCCGAAACCTAACTGGAGCTCGAGAACAACAAACTCGACAGGTCTAGGCAGGTTTCAGACATAGAGGGAAATGCATCGATCAAATTTTTACCCTTTGTCAGGTTCTGGAACACAGGTATACTTACAGGCAGCCGAAACTTGCCATATTTCTTGATCTGAAGGCGACACTTGACTCTGTCTATCATGAGGTGTTTTGTCAACGTCTGACTGCAAAGCGAGTCCCAAGCAAGTATATAATGCTTTCGAAAGGTCTCCACTCAAACTCATGCAGCCGTGTAATAGCTTACGGAGAGTTTTCATCTGAATTGACGACAACTAATGGTTTCCATCAGGGATGCCTGTGGTTACTGTTCCTGTTTACTTTTCTTATAGATGTAATAGTCGACACAACATTGAGTACTTTTGAATTCACAGGGATTGATCTTCTCCTTGGAAGGCGTTTTGTTGACTTGAAATACGCAGGTGAAAACACTGACAAAATGCAGGGTCTTCTGAACACATTGGGCAGAAATCTGAGCATGTTTGGCGTGGGTCTCGCACGTGTCCAGTGTAAGTCTATGCTCCAGGACTGGTCTGCTGCAATTACTTCCAGTTTAATGGTAGGGAATGGTGGCGGAATGCGTGGAACACATCTTCAATATATGATATGAATATTAGCTACCAATGGTTCTGGGGGACTTGTCGTGGCCACACCATTTATTGGTTAAAAATGTTCTTCAAATGTGAACTGAAATTTATCAGTACGCGATAATAGCAACTCTTTGAAAGACGTTGAATGGACAAGGAAAGAAAAATTACTGAAAGATATATGATCACAGAGAATGTCAATGGTTTTAATTAGGAGCACGTTGGTAAGTAAGGAGTTGGCATCACAAGAATACAACTTATCTTTGATTTTAGTATCACTAAGATAATTAACAAGTTCTAAAGTATCTTTCAAAGATCTTACATAATTCACTTCAAATAGGAATTAAATTTTTCGCTAACCGTTTGGCCAATTTATGTGCAGGTGAACAGAACATGGAGAGTATAGGACGTAAAGAATTGTTTGTTGTATGAATTTTAGGCAATCCATGCAGATTATGCAGCTCGGACGCCATAGGTTTGAGGAAAGCGAACTCTTCCTTCCTGATAACATTCATATTTAAGAGTTTCACTAGACTAGATGTTACGTTGCATTCTAATTTTCTAAGGTCGCCCGACTGAACATCAGCCATAAATTTACTTTCACCACTAAGGATGGACATCATCTTGTTTTTGTAATTACATTTGTTCATCATGACCATACCTGACCCTTTATCGGGTTTAAGAATGATTACATCAAATCTATTTCGAAGTCTTTTTAAAGTTTTGAAATATTGCGAAGTTAGATTGCTTCTTTGTCTTGGACCTCCAACGTATTTGTGCGAAAGACTCAATGGATGATGACATCGAAATACTAACTGAAACATTAGTGGGAAATGAATATCCATTCAAGTTCATAAACCATTGCAAACATCTGCCAGCGTTGAAACCTAATTTGTACTATGTTCCGACGAAATGCGTTTATATCACGTTACCATATAGTGGAGAATCTAATAGCGTAATATTAAAACGAAGGTTAAGATCTGCTGTTAGCAAAACACACTATGCAGCTAAGCTTATCGTAGTTGTGAATACCAAACAGTTATTGCAACGTAGATTTCAACTCTGTATAGAATGGTTGCGTCACATCCCACAAGGTTTATGAATTTAAGAGCGTGTATGGACACGTACATATACATAGGGAGGGTTAATAGAAATATGCACCTGGAGGGTATGAGAACATGTACCAAAATGTTTAGAAGAGCACCTAGTTTCACAAACATCGATAAGCGCAGGTGGTAGAAAACCATCATAATCCATTGCAAAAAATATTGATAGAGGTCACATGATTGATATCAAAACAGCCTTTGCACTTTTGTATAGAAACTGTAAGGGGCATATACTTAAGTTTGTTGAAACGTTATCCATTAACGAATTTAACCCCACATTGTGTGTGCAAAATCTGTTTGTCCTTACGCTAAGCCTACCTTATTATTATTATTATTATTATTAGTCCCTTGGGTTCCTAGTGGAACATAGGGCTTCAGTTGCACGCCTCCAGTGACCTCTGTTCTCTGAGATCTTTTGAACCTGGTCCCACGACAGCCCACAAGCTCTCATTTCCTCCTCGCACGACCTCCTCCATGTCACCCTCGGACGTCCAACTCGTCGCTTCCCATGGGAATTCCACTCGAGCAATGGCCTGACGCGTGATGTCCTCAGTCGGCCTTCTCAGTGCATGGCCAATCCATCTCCACTTCTTCCTGCATATTTGTTGCGTGATAGGTTCTTGGTTGGTTCGTTCCCAGAGTTCCTTGTTGCTTATTCTTTCTGGCCATCTGATCTTCAGTAGCGAGCGTAAGCAGTTGTTGATGAATGTCTGTAGTTTATTGGAAATGCCTTTCGTGACGCGCCAAGTCTCTGAACCATACAGGAGCACTGACTTGACGTTGGTGTTGAAAATCCGTATCTTGTTCCGCATGCTGAGTGCAGAAGATCTCCACACTGGTTTCAGGCTAATGAACGCCTGTCTTGCTTTTCCGATTCTGACTTTGACGTCCTCGTCCGTCCCGTCTGTAGTTGAAACAGTGCTTCCTAGATAAGTGAAGGAGGTTACTTCCTTCAAGTTTCTCCCGTTGACGGTGATTGGAGTTTGTTGTTGTTGTTGATGGTGGTGGTGCGGTATCTTCATCACTTCTGTCTTCTCTATATTCACCTGAAGTCCCGTCTTAGCTGCCTCTTCTATCAACTTGTTAGTTTTTGCCTGCAGATCTTCAAGTTTATGTGACATTAGGCACAAGTCATCGGCGAAATCCAAGTCTTCTAGGTTCTTTTCCGCAGTCCAGCGTATCCCCCTCTTCTCGCTGCCTACTGTTTGCTGCATGATCCAGTCCACCACAATAAGGAATATCATGGGGATAGTAGGCAACCTTGTTTCACTCCTGTCTTCACTTCAAAAGCATCACTGAGCTTCCCATTGTGAATTACTTGGCTGGCATGTGGCATCTTCATATAGTTGTTGAATGAGGCGGATAAAGGTTTGCGGTACTCCGTAGTATTGAAGCAGTTTCCAAATTACTTCTCGGTCGACGCTGTCAAAGGCCTTCTCAAAGTCGATGAAGTTGAGGTATAGAGCTGATTGCCATTCTATGCTCTGTTCTATGATGATGCGAAGCGTTGCAATTTGGTCTGCACATGATTTGTACTTCCTGAAGCCTGCCTGTTCCGGTCGTAGTTTTGAATCCAGTGCATCTTTAAGCCTCTCCAGGATGATGCGGCTTAATATTTTACTTGGGGTGGACAGGAGAGTGATTCCGCGCCAGTTCTTGCAAGCACTGAGGTCTCCCTTCTTCGGCAGTTTGACAAGGTAACCCTTCTTCCAATCGCCAGGTACCTTCTCTTCCTTCCACACCTTCTGCAATAGTGGTGTGAGCATGGCCGCTGTTGTCTCTGCATCTGTTTTCAGTGCTTCTGGCGGTATTCCATCTGGTCCTGCTGCTTTCCCGCATTTCAGTAGCTTTATGGCGTTCAGGACTTCCATTTTTGTTGGAGGATTAATGTTCACTTGTAGTTCAGCGGCTGCAGGTGGTATTTCTGGACGAAGTGCAGGTGGTGGTCGATTCAGGAGCTTCTTGAAGTGGTCGGCCCATCGTTTCCTCTGTTTCTCTTCTTTTGTAATTAAATTTCCTTCTTCATCTTTTATTGGTTTCATCTGTGTTGGTCTCTTCCCTGATAGCAACCTGGTTATTTGATACAATGTCGTCAGGTCTCTCTTACCTGCAGCCTGTTCTGCTTGACTTGCCAGTGTTTCGTAGAAGTGTCTTTTGTCTTTGCGTGCACTCTTCTTCACTTCTTTGTCCAGTGTTTTATACATTGTGCTCAGTTCCTCTTGTCGTTGAGCATCCTTGCACTGCACTGGTTTATCTTCTGCTTCACCATCCTCCTCTCCCTCTCTATCAGCTTCCAGGTATCCGTCGAGATCCATTCCTTGTCTTCTTTCTTCTTCCTTCCTAATACTGTTGTGCAGGTTTCTTTCCACATCTCTTTCAAAGACTTCCAGTGTTCTTCCACACAGGTTTCTTCAGGGATGTCCCTCGATATCTCCCATTTTGTCTTGATGGCTGCCTTGAAGATCTCCTTTGTAGTTTCATCCTTCAGTTTCCGAGTGTTGTACTTGAGTTGAGGTCTATCACCAGCTTCCTTGAAGGCTTTTAACTTGATTTGGAAGGTTCCTTGCACTAGATAGTGGTCTGAACCTACATCTGCTCCTCTTCTTGACCTTGTGTTAAGTAGACTGCGTCTCCATTTTCTTGATATTGAGATGAAGTCGATTTGATTTTTAGTGTGTCCATCTGGTGAAGTCCATGTCGCTTTGTGGATATCTTTGTACCTGAACACACTGCCTCCAATCACCAAATCGTTGAATGTCCAGAATTCTACAAACAATTCTGCATTCTCGTTCATTTCACCTAGCGCCTCTCGACCCATGGTTAGTTCTCTTCCTGTGTTGTCCCCTCCCAGTTTGGCATTCATGTCGCCCATTAGAATTTTGATATCGCCAACTGACGTGTTGTCCAGTGTTGATTGAAGTTGTCTGTAGAAATCCTCCTTTTTCTCTTGCTCTGCCTTATTTGTAGGTGCATAGTGTAGCATTGTATGATTATGACCTTCCTTCCTTTTGAGTTGAACCTTGGTGTCATGATCCTGATCGGAGAAGATTGGTTCCCACTGCACGAGAGAGCCTTCGATGCTGTTAGGGACATCATGATAGCCACCCCATAGCTCAGTATGCTCATGGTTGTCGTGTCGTCTGGGTGACAATATCGGAGTAGATTATTGATTCTCCAGTTGACAGTTTGTAGAGTCCACTCCCATTCCATCTGCTTTCGCAAATCCCAAGCACTTCGATGTGATACCTTCTCATCTCATTCGCAATCTGGGCTGCCTTGCTGGGTTCATACATCGTACGGACATTCCATGTCCCCACGTTTACTTTCGCTTTCATCGAGGGAGAGAAGACACATCGGCCCAGGCAATTGGCTTCCCGAAGGCTTTCACCAACTGGCGTCATTTCGCCTCTCCGATTCCAGCGGGGAATAAGTTTGTTTTCATTTTTTATATTTTGTTTGTGCTTTGAAGTTTCTTTAGCGGTTAGATTTGTTTTCCGGTGTAGGGTTGCTAGCTGTATGCCCAACCTTCCCTCTTTACCCGGGCTTGGGACCGGCTAGTAACTAGTAAACTAGTTAACCAGGCGAGGTTTAAGCCTACCTTAGTGATGCTTATTTTATCGTATTACCAAGGTTATTTTCAAATCTCATCACATTTTCCTTTCATTAACTTTCTTATTAAATTCCTTTATGTTATATTTGTCCTTCCGTCACTTCCAGTTTTCATGTATAATGCTTTAATAGGTGAATGTGTGATGAGACTGTTCTAAATGTATGGTGTATATGTGTCACTTTTGGGGAATCATCCAGGTGTAGGTTACGGAAATTCACAAAAGGGACGAAATGTTTTATTTTCTTTGGGGTTAGTTTTCTGGTTTATAATGTAATCTCAGCTGATAAGGGTTTTTCGATATTCAGAAGGAGTGGTATTTTCTTTTTTCTTGAGCAAAGGTTTGGATTCATACCTTTGGGCACATTGTAACACAGAAATAATGGCTCTATTCTGGACAATATTACAGGTATAATATGGAAAATGTTTAGCATCCTTTGGACAGAAGCAGTTTATGTGAATACATAGTAATAATAGCAATATCAATAACAGTAATAATAGGAAAATTAATAACAATAACGACATTATATATATATATATATATATATATATATATATATATATATATATATATATATATATATATATATATATGGCATGTACAACGTTTTCAGAAATGGAGATTTAGCTCAGGTAGCCAACCACACTAGCAGTTAGTTTCATAATACATAAATTATGATAGCAATTAGTTTGCTTTGAAAAATAAAAGTTGATAGGTCACTTCATTTGTAACATTTTCTTCTTCTTACAGGTTACCTACTGAGTACAGTATAGTAGATGTTATGTGTTTAGTAGTGCGTCTATATAGTCTTATTTACTTGCTACTAGTCTTGTCTGAGGACCTATACGTGCGGAGCTTTGAGTGCAGAGTATGCTGGTCATGTGATAAAGTAACTTCTGCTAGATGTTTACATGAATTGAGATGTTTGTCCACAACAGTTTCATTTAGACGTTTAGAGGTATACCATTCTAGTTCTGGTGATAGTCTTCCAAGTTCTTTCTTCAGCAACCCAGGAAAGAATAATGGGGAACAAGAGAGAAGAATAGGTAAGATGCGGGGGTTTCTAAAACACAAGTGAAGAGGCTAAGTTATACGAGATACTCTCTGTTTCCTAATATAATTAGTCAGAAGGAAGATTCTTTTGAAAATTAGTAAGATATTGCCTACGACTTGTTTGTGTATTAGTCATTGCGTCGCATGTTTTGTGTTGAAGCTTACCTTCAAAATATTCATTTGTGTACATGTTAACAATAGTTTTGATTGGGAGATATTATTGTCGTTATGCATTTGTTTACTCTATCACTCGTTTTGCTCACATATTAGGTTCGTTTGAAATTACTGTCAATGGGAATCTAATTTTCTCAAAACTAAAACGTGGTGGTTTCCCTACGACAGAAGCTGTGAGTTTTCATTTTATTAAAGATGAGGTGGTACTATGGTAAATATATTGAATTTTTTTTAATGGTTAAACTACACTAACACAGTGATCAATTTGATTTAAGGGGTTTGTGGGGGGTTTAGTAATTTTTCAAGTTGGTAATCACCATAGGCTGAAATCAGTTGGAGGAACATTGGAAGCCTGGACGCACTGGACAATTATTTCGTCCTAGTATGGGACTCTTCAGCACTGTGCACCCATGACCCCACCCTCCAGTTATTGAACCCATCACTTTCAGATTCCGTGACCAACACGTTACCATTGAGCCATTGAGTCGGAATTCAATGGGCGCTAGTGATCATTCATGCATGCTTAGCCTGATAAGAATTAAAAGTTGAGGGAGATTTCAGTAATAAAATAAAAGGGATTGGTTCTGTTGAACCATATATAACGAAAGCGCATCAATCTTGGAACTTGTTTGTATATCACTAATAGAGTATGGCTTGTATACGATAATAGTGCAATGGAGACGTGCTACTGTAGCTCTATGTTCCACTAGGAACCCAAGGGACAAATAATAATAATAATAATAATTGTGTACAATGATGAAACGTCTTTCTAAAGTCGAATATGGAACAATATCGAAGAAATATATTCTTGTGAGGTTTGAATCTGTTTCTTTAGTTTTCTAGTCATATAAATTACTCTCAAGTTGTTCGATTACCGTTTATAGCCATCTATAATGCATTACATAAAGTTGTTGCTGGATACCAAATAAGCTAATGACTAACCCTAATACAGTTACCACTTATCTAAACAGTATCACTGAAGTGCATCTACCATCTAGTTCATAGTCAACAGATGAACAAATCAATATGGAACCTCGGTATAAGCGTACATCATTTCAGTTCTCCACACTTCACAGCCAGTATTCAACGAAGAAGCGGTTGGTGAAGAGGATATTAAGGCAAAGAAAAAAGATAAGAAATCGATGAATGTTTGCTCAAAACTTTGAAGATCACCATTGTTGTCGATCTTAAACTATTATTATCATCATCAGTCCTGTGATCTTAAAGATCCCAATCCAGGTAATATACACTTACCTACCTTCATGGCTTATACTAACAGTTAGAGATGTTATCTACTAACTTCCCATTTCCTTAGTCTTTTTTTCAATCCAGTCCCACTTTGGTTAACATCGTTTCATATACTAAGACTTAGATAACTGAACAATATCTCTGACCAATAGAAAATGGGTGTGGCTCACTATTTATTCATTGCATGCATATTCACCAAATTAATCGTCTAACTGTTTATTGTGACTTATCATTAATATCATTCTATTCTTTTCACTAGCCTGTATTTAGTAGATATGAATTAGAGACAATAGAATAGAAATCTCACCTGAGCTAACTTAATAGTATTAAAGTTATTTATTTATTCATCTAATTTCAGGTTATTTCTGAGTTGATTGCGATTGTAAAGGGTGAAACACCTAAAGAAGTGACTGAATGTCAAGTATCTAGTTGTAATCTGCTTTAATTTTTATTAACTACTCTACATTTGAACATAAAAGCTGAGATGACAGAAAATAATGACGTGTACAAAGCAAAATAAATTATTAACCTTTGTATACTGATGCAAAGTTGTCTCACTTTTGTGTTTAATTGTTTTCATTGGATATTATTAGTTGATTAACTAACTATACCATATAGTGTGTTTCAGTTGTTTTTCTCAATACTGCTTCTTATTGTCCTTTCTAATTTCCTTTCTGTGTTTTAATTTATATTTGTGAATGTGTTTTTTTGTTGCTGGTTTAATTGTTTAGTGATTTGTGTAGTTAATTAAGGCGTTTCCTTTTATTTAAATAAAAAGTAAATACTTACAAGTTTGTATTGTTTTGATTTAAAAAAAAAGTGAATATTTGGCATACTTTTACGTTTTGGTAGGCAAAGTGTAAAATAGAGAAAGAGAGATTGAATTGAATAGAGATACAATTTGTTATTGATTGTTCAAAACTTCAACTTTATTACGCATTAATGTAGTTCATTAATTAGGTACACAATCCTGGAAAAGTCAATGATCCACATTTGTTTTAAGAATGCTAATACGATTGAGAAGTTGAAAACTCTGCGGGTGGAGTAGTGTTTTAACTCATTAACAGGTTGAATTTATATGTAGTGAGTTATTCTGGTTTCATCTTAACCACACTATAGTTGGTTCTCAGCGATATTACAATGCCTTTCCAATCATAGACTTGAGTATTTCATGGTTTCATGACATGAAGTCGTTGCTTGTGTGTCCATAACAAACTAGCAGTCAGTAATTGTCCGTTAGTACTCGTAATTCCCCATAGGTATACTGGGTCGAATTGCTCGGCCTCTGTAGGCAGACGGGCTTCTAAGCGGATACCTTGATGCTGCCAGGATATTCATTATGTTGTAGTCTATTCAGTGGAGTACAGGGCACGCTTTTTGTTCTGTTTGGGACTCGTTAGGTGGGACGAAATGCGCGTCCTCGGTTCCCCTGCTAGCAACAAAGAAGGCTACAATATAGTACAAGTCAATCACTTTAATAACTAGTTCTATATTCTGTTCTAGCTAAACCTACATTCATTCAAATGTATTTAACTTCATCGTAGCTTTCCGTGAAACGATCGGGCGCTTTTAAGACAGTAACTCTGAATTTTCAGTCGCTAAATTCTTTGGATGTATTTGATTCATACGCTAAACTTTGTTATAAAACACTGCAGTTTAATACTAGATATAAGTTATATTTGTCTAGGTCACAGCGTCTTTGAGATAAGAGCACAGTTTGATTTACTGTGAATTATCCCAAGACGGATGAATTATCCAGGGAATGAATACTCATCTAGAACTAGATATGTGTTACACTTGAGTTAATAGCAATACTAGCATTTTAACAGATGTCAAATGATGTATCGCACTCAGCTATATCAGTCACTTGCGTGAAATCTGGAGTAGTCTCACAACAAGCAGCCTCAATACATGTGGACCCTGAGTTAATTATGTAAGCTACAATAGTCCATCCTGATGATCGATATTACTTATATTACAGAAAACAAATGAATAAAGAATGGAATTTATTTACGAGATGCTAGTGATTAAAAAGAAAACGTCGTGACATAATTTAGGTGGAAACACATACTACTATAGGAAATGACAAAACAAGGAATGTTTATTATTGATATCTTGTACAGTAGTGATGGCATATCGTACACTTTCCACTAAGACAGTCATTCGCATAATGTGCTTCATTTTCTCTTCTACCTCCATCTCGGTTCGCTCTTGATGCGCCCACATTGTCTGTCGGGTTCCTCTGGGCAGAATACTTACCCAATACTGGTAATTGCCTATGATTTCTGCCGTTCTCTCGACATATACTACTGATATCCATTCTAATCAGCAGCACCCACTACACTGTACTTACCTGTGTATAAGAAGTTACTACAAAAGTTTACTGAGAGGAGAAGGTTATAAACTCTCATAAAAGCCTGCATCTAAGCCTCAACTAGTCATGCTGGTGTTACGTGTCATGTTTATGTCTACTATTTGAATTACGAACATTCAGCTGAAATTACTAACCAGAGAGTAAGAACTAGATGTAAGTAAGTAAGGACATATGAGATGTTTTCATTGGAGGCTTTGAGCTGTTTGTAGAGTATTTGTAGGCCTTTCTGGAAGGACATATCGTACTGATTTCGCACCAACCATTGTGTTATGTACACGTGACTCTAGGGGCTTGCTTCGAAACTTCGAAGTAATATGATTGGTTCTGAAAGGCTTCAGATCTGGAACCTCGCCTAATTCACTAGTTACTAGCCGATCCTAGGCCGGGATAAAGAGGGAAGGTGGGGCGAACGGCTACCAACCCTACCCCGTAAAACCAATCCAGTCACTAAAGAAACTGCGAAGCACAAAGAAATTATCGAAAATAAAAACAAACTTATTCCTCACTGGGATCGGAGAGACGAAATGATGCCGATTGGTGAAAGTCTTCAGTAAGACAATTAGCCAGTGTGTCTCCTCTCGATGAAAGCGGAAGTAAAAGTGGGGACATGGAATGTCCGGACCAGATTACCAAAGAGATAAGAAGATATAGCATAGAAGTGCCAGGCAGGGAATATGCGAAAGCAGATGGAATGGAAGTGGACTCTCCAAACTGTCAGCTGGAGAGGAGTCAATAATCTACTCCGATATTGTCACCCAGACGACAATCCTGAGCACACTCATTGTTCGAGTGGTTATCATGATGTCTCCAAGAACATCGGAGGCTGTCATGCAGTAGGAACCAATCTCCTCCTCGAGCATCACGATCGTGATAGCAAGGTGGATTCAAGTGAAAAGGAAGGGAGGTCATAATCGTGAAATGTTACACTACGCAGTCACAAATAATGCAGATGAAGAGAGGAATGAGGAATTCTAAAGACTACTGCAAAATGAGAGACATTGAGCAACATCCCTGAAGGGTTGAGCGTGGATGAACACTAGAACTGTGTGGAAGCTATGTGGAAAGAAGATGCCTATCCTGCACATCATCAACTACAAAGTCATCGACACAAATCAATAACCGCATCATCCTACCATACATGAAGAATATATCAGAAATCACGACAAGATTACTGAAACCACTCGGAATTGGTGTGGCTCATAAACTAACAAATTCCCTCCAAACACTGTTATGCAGACCAAAGGATGCCGCATCATTCTGGAGAGACCAAACAATGCTCTGAATTCAAAATTGCCACCTGAACAGGCTTGCTGACTGACTGGCTTGTGGAAGAACAAATCATGAGCGTATCAAATTGCAACACTACACTACGCATCAATATGGAACGGGGCATAGAATGACTATCAACTCAACTCAGCCTCAACTTCATCGACTTTGAAAAGGTCTTCGATAGTGTTGACCGAGAAATAACTTGTCAGGCAGCTACTTCAACACTATGGTTTCAGTGCCACAAACCTTAATCAACCTCATTCAACAGCTATATGTTATATGATGAGGTTACATGCAAAGTGATTCACAATGGAAAGCTCGGTGGTGCCTTTGGAGTGCAAGTGAAGTAGGGAGTAAATCAAGGTTGCCGCCTACTATCACCGATGATTTTCCTGATTGTGGTCGACTCGACTCAACTGGACTGGATCATGCAGCAGACAACTGTGAGGAGCTGTGAGAAGATGGGCATATGCTGACTGGACTGATGAAAAGACCCCAGAAGAAGATTTGGATTTCGTGGACAACGATGATTTATGTCTAATGTCTAATATCGCACAAAATCGCAGATCTACAGGCGAAAACTAGCAAGTTGACAGAGGAGACGAGGCAGCGTAGATGTGACTTTAGGTGAATGTAGAGAAGACAGAGGTGATGAAGATACTCAACCAACATCAACAACAAGCATCAATCACCATCAATGGGAGAAATCTAAAGGAAGTTATCTTTCTCACCTGCTTAGGCAAGGCAGCATCGTTTCAACTACAGGCGGCACAGGTACATATGAGGACGTCACAGCCAGGATCGGAAAGACAGCAAGATAGGCCTTCAATAACCTGAAATCAGTGTGGAGATCTACTTCACTCAGCATAAAGCGTGAACAAGATCAAGATTTTCAGCAAGCTGATGGTTGAGAGGCTTGGAGCGTTACAAAAAGCATTCCCAACAAACTACAGCCATTCATCAACGTCTTCCGCCCACGCTCACTCGATACTGAAGATCAGAAGGAACAAGGAGCAAGGAATTCACTGTAGCTGGCAACAAACCAACGAAGAACCCATCGCCCAACAAATATGCAGAAGGAAGTGGAGGTGGATCGGTCATACACTGAAATGGCCGACTGGTGATATGACGCGCCATGTCCTCGAGCGGAACCCACCTTGGAAACGACGATTCGGCTGTCCGAAGTTGACATGGAAGAGATGGTGTGGCGAAGAAATGAACGCTTATGGACAGTCGTGGAGCCAGGTTGAGAAGACTGCGGAGAAGACATAACAGGAAGCACGGTGCCAACTTAATAAGGCTGCGTTGTCAATGATGAGACAGAACGTGTTCTTTAAGTCTGCTTTCGAAACATAAGGACCCAAAAGCATAGACATACTGGGAGTGCATCTTTTGCCAAATCCTTAAGATCCCACTCCCCTCATTCCGGAAAGTTTGAACTCTCCACATCATCAAATGTAAAGTGATTACTGCAAGCACCAGAACCTTTACATTGTGAATTGACGATATTCAGTGCAAAGGAACTATCCAACTTTACGAAACATATCCGAAGTGGTTGGTTGGGCTCAAAACAATGGTGTCACTTGATAAGAAATCGGCACTTAATAATGTTCCGCAATTAATTATGTATGCGATCAGCTAAAAGAACGAGACATCGATGTGGGAATCCTACCTGAAAAGTTGAGGAACTACTTTTTAGGATTACGATATCTTCCTGGCAAAACTCGAAATTGATCCACTTATGAACACTCGAAGTAAGTTAGGATTCAGATGACATTTTCATCGTTTGCGACATGGAATTC